CTTGGGCTACGTGAAATAGATAAGCTATTTGTTAGTAGCTAGTGACTACTCTCTCTCTTACTTTTTCCCTGTCCACGTCATAATAGTTAGCCAAATAGCTAACCATTGGAGCAGGGGCGGACCCAAGGGGGGTCCTGCAGGGGCACGTGCCCCTGTGAGATGAAAAATTTCAACTAGTATATATATAATAGTGTATAATATAATACATATAGTTTTTAATATAAAATACATATAGTTTTTAATTATAACACATTTTCTTGTGGGCCCGGAACTCCACTACATTCAACCAAGATTTTTCTTACTCCCGTCACTCATCAGTACTGAAGAGTGAAGATTCTTTCTTCTTTACTTCTCTATTCTGTATTACAAAATTTCTTCTGCTTTGGGGCGAACGGCGAATCGGCGATTACAAGAAAAGAAATAAAAAAAATCTTTCAATAATTGAAAGTATGCTTTATTTAAAGGATCTTTCTACTGCTATCAATTTTTATTTAAAAGGTATGCTTTATTTAATTATTTTTTAGTTTTTATAACCCTAAATTTTGTATTTCGGTATTTTCAAAATTGATTTGATTTTTAATTTAGGGCTTTTATGATTTTGATAAAATAGCATCTTAAAATGTTATTTCTTATTTGTTGTGTATTTTTTATGTATTATTTTTTTTTTAAGTAATAACAGTTTTAAAATTAGCTTGTAATTTTTTAAGTTCTAACCTAATCTGATTATTATTTGTCATATTACTTATGGAGAAATATTATAAACAAGAATGTACGAGTGTTGCCGATGAAAGAAATGTCCAAAAAAAAAAGCTAAGAAAATTATGTTGATATTGGCACGGCCATTCGGCCCATTCCCGATGAATTATATTGTGCCCCCCTACTGCTAAATTTCTGCGTCCGCCTCTGGCGGCGGACGCAGGCTTTGAAAACAACAGGGGCACAAATAACGGTTAACGTCGAAAGTCAACGGTCAAATTAATATTTAACCAATTAAAATAAGTAATAAGATTAAATCTTAACCAAACACTTTTTTTTTCTTATTTAATAACTAGAATTGAGTCTCACATTCTAATTTCAAAAATATAAACACATTATCCAATCCCTATATAATGTATATATTTATGTATAATATTTATTTTTATGTATTTTGATCAAAAGAAAATAAACAAGAAGTTGATAACAGAGATTTGGTACTTTCTATATCCTAAAGGTTCTCCCATAGCATTTTACATCCAACCGCGAAACTGCTGGGGTTAGGAACTGATTATAACATAAGTATTAACTCCACAACTTAAAAAATAATATATTGGTTAAATAATTTTAAATATTTTCTTTTTACTTTTTTATATCAAAATAACTTTGCATTATAATTATTAACATGTATTTTTTATGTCAATATAATAATATTTATATACATATAATAATATATATATATATATATATATATACTATTTTGGTAGAAATTCTTATGTCAATATAATAATATCTATATACATATAATATATATATACTATTTTGTTAGAAATTGTACAGGGGCCCGTGCCCCTACGGGCCCCTATGTAAATCCGCCGGTGTTTTCTCCTATGCATTTTGATCACATGCCCACGGTGGGCAGTGTCCACCACTTTATTTTACATGAAAAACGTATTCTGAGAATATGTTTTTCAATTAATTTAATTGAAAAATGTAAAATAAAGTGGTGGACACTGCCACCGTGGGCAGGTGAGCAGAACTCTTTCCCGTATACATAGTTTGAATTTTATTTTTATTTTAAAAATTATGAACAGATGTTAAATTTAGTGTATTGAAATCTACTTACAAAATTTGTAGCACCACAAAATATTTAAATTATAAGTCATGAAAATATTATTATTATTATTATTATTATTATTATTATTATTATTATTATTATTATTATTATTATTATTAAATTATTTCAAATGTCCAAGAAATTATCATTTAACCGAATGAATAAGTAAATTTTTCAAAAGTGTTTTAGGCATGATATAATTTATACAAATTATTTTGTAGTACGTATTATCTAAGATTAAAAAATATATCTAAGTATTTTAAATATAAATTTTGGACCAAAATAGAAGAATGATAATTATGAATTATTATAGTATATTTTTCGAAAATTTTATTTATTTTAAATCAATTATAAAGAAATGAAAATAACTTGGTCTACATTCAACCTAGTCTTCCATACCATCTCCTTGCAACAATCACATGAGATTTCACAAAAATCATTGTTCATTTGTCTTCTTCTCATTCTCTGTACAACCCAAAGCATCATCCCCAAACCATCACCCCCAAGCCAGTCACCGGGCATCGCACGACCCGAGCCACCATCGTCCGGAGGTGTAGCCACACGCCGAGAATCAAGATAAACCCTGCTGCTCCTCCGAGCCGACCGTCGTTCGACGAGACACAATTGGAGTCGTTGTGACCAGTTGTACGTCTGTCGACCAGATCTTGTGAGTTGTCTTATAGACCGATGGTCACTTCTGTTAGTCACTTCTGATCCCAAGTTATTTTGACCTCTAAAACGTATTCGTCGATTTTTAAACTCTTCATGTAACTAAAATTTTAGTCCGTTTGTCTTTTATTAGGGACAAGAATCACATGATTAGGAGAATGAATTAGAGCAGTACCTGGTTTCTATTAAAAGATATGTTCAAAACAGTGGCAAAATTGCAGCATTTACTGACCAAAATACACACTCAAGCCCTCACAAAGACGCAAGAAATCACCACAAACAGAACAAAAATGAAAGAATATCACCCACCCATCTTACAAAAACCCAAACCTCAAACCAACAAAAACTCATCACAACACCAAAAAATACAAAAACCATTTCACCTCCCTTGTTGATTCACCATCTGCGAAAACTCTTCAAACCCCACACCCATCGGGCCCAAATCCCGGGCTAGTTCCTCCTCGACTTTCCCTTCCTCGACTGGCCCCAAATCCCGGCCCACCCCATCATCCGGCCCGTTCCCACCATTCCCTCTCGACCAAGCCTCGTGCAGCTGCAGAACATACTCCAAGTGCCACAAAACCTCCCCCATCGTCGGCCGCTTCCTCCCTTCCTCCGCCAAACACTTCTCCGCAATCTCGCCAAAGCCCGCCAACGACTCGGGACAAAACTTCCCGACGAGACTTTTGTCCACAATTCTCTCGAGCAGCTTCTTTTTCTGCCACCTCAGCGCCCACTCGGCCAAATTGATCTCATCCCTCGGCAGCGCCGGGTTTATCACGGGCCGAGCACACGCCACCTCGAAAAGCACCACTCCGAATGAGTACACGTCGGATTTCTCCGTCAGCTGCTGCCGCCTGAAATATTCCGGGTCGAGATACCCGAAGCTCCCTTTCACCGCCGTGCTCACGTGCGTGTGCTCGAGCGACGGGCCCGTTTTCGAGAGCCCGAAATCGGACATCTTCGCCACGAAACCCTCGTCGAGAAGGATATTCGTGGTCTTCACGTCACGGTGGATAATTCCCCGGTCGGAGCCCGTGTGGAGATAATGGAGCCCGCGGGCCGCCCCGATGCATATCTCGAGCCGCTGCTTCCACGTGAGCGACGGCAGTCCGGCCCCGAACAGGTGGGCCCGGAGGGTCCCGTTCGCCATGTACTCGTAAACGAGTATTATCTCGTTTTGCTCGTCGCAAAAACCGATCAGCGAGACAAGGTGCCGGTGGCGTAGCTTGGACAGCAACTCGATCTCTGTTTCGAATTCGGTCAAACCCTGCTGAGACTGCGGGTTTGACCGTTTGACCGCCATGACTGTGTCGTCGATTTCTCCCTTGTAAACCTTCCCGAACCCTCCGACTCCAATCACGAGACTCTCGTCAAAACTATTCGTAGCAGCTTTGATTTCGGTTAATGTAAAACGCCTCCCGGATCGAATGGTTCCGCCGAGTTGCCCGTTTGGGTTTTGATTACCCGTGGTGCTGCTCACGATAGACCCATTTAGGATCAGAGGCCGCCAGCCTGGCGGGCTGCTTTTCTTGGCTTCAAAATTCTTTTTCCTACAGAAACAGATAACGACGAACACGCAGACGCCAGCTAGGATAGCGATCGATGCTCCGATTCCAGCCCAAAAGATCAATCTTTTCGACATTTTTTTACCCGTCTTTTTTCACATCGCTATAAGACTGCACGTAAGCCAAGTTCCCATTTTTACTCAGCTTGAAAACCTCGAGCCCGTTTAAGAGAGCATCGGTGCCCGCTGACCCAGTTGTAGAATCGGGCCCGAGCTGTATCCAGAGAGTATTAGTCTTCTCGGAAATGAAATCCACGTAATCCTCGTGATACGCTCGGTTCATCCCGCCAGCTCGTGCGTACACGTCGTAATTATCCGATGCCGTTTTGTTGTCTATGAATATTCGAAAGATTCTTTGGTTCGGCCGATCGTAAACTAGCTCACAAAAATGTAGTCGAACTAGATACTCGAAATCCGGGTCGACCTCGAGCTTCCACGACATGTTGAACCGATTTTCGAGAACTCCCGTGTTAGTCAAAGTCCGAGCGGACTCGTACACGGACAGTGGGGCCACGAAAGTCTCGTTCGGGTTAGCGTAAGTAATGTTCGACCTGTTACGGATTTCCGAGCCGGCGTCCGAATTAACCATGTAGCTCGAGTCGACTTCCCATCGTCTCCATAATGAGTCGTGCGTGGGCCCAATAGACGAACCGCCGACATTCAATCTGTACATGGTCTCGATCCCTCGTCTGCTCAAGCCCAACGAGGCATTGCCGCTGTTCGACCCAACCCGACTCGCCGAGTCGGTGAAAAGCCCGTTTTCTTCCTCCGGAAGAATCTCGATCGCGTTCACGAACCCGAACGAACCTTTTCTCGGAGCGAAATCGAGGACGATCGAACCTGTGCTGACCGGAAAGAAATATTCTTTCAATATCGAGCTGTAGCTGGAGTTGCCGGACTGGTGGAGGTTCTTCTCGGCAATCTCGCCAGGGACATTAAACTCCGAGACCAATCTCAGGCCATTTGCCTCGACCGAAAAGTAAGAGTTGTTGGGGTTATAACCGTCAAAAGCTAACTGGGAAAAGTAGAGCCTGAGTAAATAATCGCCGTTCGGGAGGGCAAATGTGTAATTTAGGCTGCCCGTGAAAATTCGAGCGCTTTGGTAGAGCTGCCGATAGGCTGGATCGCCATTGTAGACAGAACTAAAAGCTTCGATTCCGTTGGAGCTAAGCGTGAAATTGCTTTCCGGCGAAGTGTCGCCTACCCATCTTCTTCCTCCCACATTTACAGTTGAGTTTGTACCACAGTTTATCAGAAACGACGTCGTTTGAGCTTTTGCACAGAGGCAAAGCATAAACATGACCAATAGGGGTAGAAATCTCATCGTGCTCAAATTCAAGCAGTGATTATAAGCAATTCAAGAAAACAAAGGCACCAACTTTAAGGACAAAAAAACAAGGAACCCTTAGATATCTTAAATCACAACAATGGCTTCCAGCCAAACCAAACACACTATACACTGAACCAAGATTCTCCCTCAATTAATTCCAGCTACAAAAAACTTACCTCACATGAAACATAACAGAGCAAATCTACAATCTAACACAACAGCTGAACCAAGAAATGAATTACGGCTCAAAATTAATGCTCAAACAGCTAAATAGATCTGAACCAAGAAAACCCAAGTGCTAAAAAAAGGGAAAAGAACAGATTTTTTCCTTTGAAAAAAAGCCCTTTTTGGATATGCTAAGGAACACCAGTTAATAATTGCAAAGGCAAGATCTTTTTCATCTATCAGATACGTTGAAAATCACCAAAATTACGCAGAGAAAGGGAAAAGTGTCTGAAAAAATATTGAAGATTTTGAAAAAGTAGGAGATGGGCTGGCTGTGCATATGATGATAAAAAAAGCTTTCAAAATACAGTCTGGAAAATATTCGCCATATTTGTAAAGGTATTGTCTTTTAATGAGAGGATAAACGGGTGAGTATCTTGTGCCAACTTTTATTGCAAAAAGTGGGTTTTGCTTGCTCTCAAGGTCGTAACTGCTTTTTGGTGGTGTGGATGAGCAGTCAAATTAATTAGCTGGGTTCGAAGAAATTAATTACATTAATGGGTTTTTTACTTTTTTTATAGTAATTATTATTATTATTAGCTTTGTGAAATTTAAAATTGTTGGGTTTTTGTTAACAACTAAGTATGGCACCCGCGTATTGTGCGGTATGATGTTAAATATAATGATGAATTATAATTTAAACGAATGGCAATTTATTTACAATAATGTCACTTATTAGACATTTGAATAATTAATTACACATATAACATTGCGAATTGAGTTTATTATGATCACTATTGTCATTGAAAAAGTTTATAACTCTAGAAACAACAATATGCTACTATTATGACTAAGTGCATGCTTTTTCAGCAACAATATCACATCTATCTATATATTAAAAGAATAACATTTTAAGGATTCCCGCCAATTTTTCCTGCCAATATATGTATATATAATCACCCGCCAATTTCAGTAACAGTGTCCTAAAAATTAGCAATTGTCTTTCCTTTTTTTTGGTAGATAGGGTAGTCAACGACCTATTTACAGGGTAGATAGGGTAACAAATCGGCTGATTTATTGGGTATAATTTGTATTCTCTTTCCTGTTTTTTTGGTATCAAAATAAATATTTGTAATTATTTTTGGTATCAAAACTAATAATTTTCAAATTGTTTGTAATCAAATATTTTCAGATGGAGCACCATAAATTCAGTATGATTTTAATAAATTAGACTTATAATATTTTAGATACTTAAAACAATTTGTTTAGACATTTTTTTACATGTTCGTCTATATATTTATACATATACACATACACATTATTGATGTTAAATTTAAATATATGTAGACATGTTTTATTTACAAAATAGTGTAGATTTTTTTTTTTACACAATGTTAAATTCAAATGTTTTTAGATATTTTTTTCTTCATTATTTAGAAAAGTTGTAGATGATTTCACATCTTTCAAAAATCATATAGAAAATTTTGAATACTATTACATATACTAATATAATATTTTAGGTGTTCTTAATATTAAACGTACAAATTTTATATTCTCTTATACAAAATAATGTAAATTTTATATTCTATTATACAAAATAATTTTACATTGTTTGACCCCGAATCTTTAATTTAATTATTAAGTATTGTTTATTCTCATCTTTATTTAATAATTATTATTTTTTTTGTTCCTCTTTTTAAATAGGATCAATAGTAATTTCCATTTCCGCCATTGAGTGACTCAAACTCGAGATTTATTTATAATATTGTTAATTTAATATTGTTCCCGTGCATCGCACGGGGTATACACTAGTATAACAACAATAGTTGGCTTTGATCAACTCACATTGCCTAAGACAACATAATAAAAATTATCATAGTTGGAATTTAAATAGTTGTCTTGAATTGGAAAACATAAAGGATAATTGTAGAACAAAAAAAAAAATATGCTGCGATAATTTCACATTTTATACTTTGAAATTGTGTTTTTAGTTTTTTGTTGAATTAAGAGAAAAATTCTTCAATATCATCATTAGTCATCAAGTCAATAACATATCTAGCTATTTGGACTGAAAATTATTTATAAACGGAAGCTAATTAAACTTCTTGAAATATGCATTGAGATTTTCGCTGCAAAAATATTGAATTAATGAAATAAAATTTTATTGACAAAGGAAAGACAATTATAGCAGATAATTTTTACTCCAACATACATGTAAAATTGATGAATAGCTTCTGATAGTTTTTTTATAATTTATTACTTTTGAACACAAATTCACATCAATTTTAGTTGCACAATAAATGTTAAATTAAATATAATGTTTATAAATTATAAATTTAGAAGTCTGTCAATTTAGTTCCAAAAAATAACTTGCATGAGATTTTACATTTTGAAAAATATTTATAAACATTAGTTCTCAATTCACCTTCTTAGTCCTAACACATTGTGAAATTTTATTTAATTTTTTCCAACTAAAAAAGTTAGAGATGATGTTGTTGTGTTTTAAAAAGATTATTATTCTACTTTACAAAAAAATGACTTATTTTTTTAAAATTAAAACCAATATTCAGTAAGTCAAAATATAAATTAAATTTTCTATAACATAATGTTCTCGTCAATAAGTTTATATATTTCATCTATAATAACATTCAATTTAATATATGCAACCTCTATGTTTTATTTATTTTTAAGACAAATAATATTATTTTCAGACAATAATTTTGTATCTTGATTTAACCTTTTCCATAAATTTAGGTACACTAAGCCTAAGTGAGTTAGTACATTATTTATTCACGTTAATAAAACATCATTTTTTATAATAACCACAAACTTGAATATTATACATTTACGTTAAAAAACCATCATTTTCGATATCAACTCCAAACTTGGATATTATACCCTTCCTTCTTAATTTTATACCCTTTATATGTCTGATAGTTTGAACAATATTACTTGAATTATCCAACTCTAGAAAGACTAACAAAAGATGATGATATGTTACTTAATTTGAGTTGATGTGTGTAATATGTCTAATTCACACCAACAAAAATAAAAATAAAAATTAAAAATTAAATTTTGTATAATTTATTTTTAATTATTTTTTACATATTGCAATTTGAATCTGACATAAAATCTTAAATCCAACTAAAAAATAAAGATAAATGTTTTATCTCATTTTGATTTTTTGTCTCAAGATTGATCTAAATGAGATATTGTCATGAGTTCCAAAAAAAATAATTTTAAAAAACACTTTCATTTAAAATTGTTTTCAATAATTATTAAATAAAATTATGTTAATTGTTTATAATATTAAAAATAAGTATAATAAAAACAAAAGAACTTGCACTTACCCATCAAAAGTGTAAAATTGACGAAAATGATTTGTGCAATCCTCCAAAAAATTGAAAAGGTTGGTAATTTGGCCTTAAAAATTAAAATATATTCATAATAAATAATTATATTTATATTTAAGTAGGTTTTAATAAAAATAATTATGATTATGTCTTGAGTTATAGATCATGCTAGGAATTAATAAAATTTTTGTGAGATTAATAAATAGTCTTGGAGGAAAAGTGATATTTTCTCAAAGTACACCATAGTAATATATATATATATATATATATATATATATATATATA